CCAAAGATACAAAAAGGAAGACAGTGACGTGTAGAAGAAAAAGACATTCTTCCTGCTGCTCACGCACACAAAAGTGCCCTTCTCCCCAACTCTAAGCCCTTCACCAGTCTGCCTGAAATCTCTGTTAACATTCTCACAGTTAGTCTCAAGCAACTGCCATGCAAAGGGAAGTGAATACAAAACATTTTTATTCTGTAATCTATTTGGAAATTTCAAGTTTTACTGTAGTACATGGAGGAATGACAGGAGGGACCTAGACCAATTTGAGGAGAACTGCGAGAAGGTTCACTAAAATAATAAACAACGAAGACCACACTGGAAGGAAATTCAGACAACAAATGGCTTGGCACTTGGGAAAGCTCATAGAGACAAATGCATTACAGCTGTTCTAATAGGTGCTCTAGATAATATAAAAACCATTTCAGGTTTTCATTCTTTGGCAAAATGTCAGTTGAGAAAACAGAGAATTAGATACTAAGAGTAAATAAAACACCATGACAGCATACACACTCTGATTCTCTGTTCCCTTTTACTGGGAAGCAGCAATGAAATGATAAATCAGGGCATATTTACATGCCCAAAGTAGATCTAGAATATTGTAGGTCTTAGAAAATCAAACCTACTCCAAGAAGCCAAAACAACCCATGCGGATACCATTTTGAATAAACTTGGGTAAAATCCTAGTCATTGGAACCATATAGGCACTAAAAGAAAACTTCTTCAGTGCTGTGCATTAAACTCTAATAATTAAAGGATAATGAGCAAAATCAGGTACTAATTAGGTACTTCAATTTCTTTTGCTAGCATTTGAATTATTGCCTCTTAATCTAGTATCCCTCTATAAAAAATAATTTTTCATAATTTCACAAACTCACAGTGAGCAGGTATATCATTTACACTTTTGAAAGAAACTTCCCCATTACAGAGACTGATGGCAGGGCCACTGAAGCACAGTCTCAAAGTTTAGTGAGCCTGAATACCATCTGGAGGGTTTATAAAACACAGATGCCCAAGCCTGGCTACCAAAGATCCTGCCTGCCTAGGCTAGGTATCTGCATTTTAAATATGCACCAGCACATTTTCATTAAGCAGGGCACTTTTAGGGGAATTTTATTGTTTAAAAGAACTGCAATGCCTGTTTTAACCTAAAAGCAAAACAGGTGTCAAAATCCTTACTCAGAGTAGCTGCCAAAAATAGTTGAAAACACTCCAGGATGATTAAATCAGAGTCAAATTTCAGAGCCATGGAAAGGAGCCATACAACTGACTACATGCAACCCTTCAATCTGAATAATGCATCTGACAATACCATAAATGTAAGTGCTGAGATTCTGGATTATTAATTACATTTTTTATAGTTACAACTTCAAATGGGTCCTTTAAGAAGCTCATTCTTAAGGGCATCTCATGGTTTGTGAGTTCGAGCCCCGTGTCAGGCTCTGTGCTGACAGCTCAGAGCTTGGAGCCTGCTTTGGATTCTGTGTCTCCCTCTCTCTGCCCCACCCCCACTTGCACTCAAAAATGAAAACGTTAACAAATATAAAACATTCTTCAGGTTAAAGGATCTTTTAACTTGAATAGGAAATGCAATAAAAGATTCTAGAAAAATGTAGATTTTGGGGCGCCTGGTGGCTCAGTGAGTTGAGCATCTGACTTTGGCTCAGGTCATGATCTCACAGTTTGAGCCCTGTGTCAGGCTCTGTACTGACAACTCGGAGCCTGGAGCCTACTTCAGATTCTGTCTCTCTCTCCCCCTCTCTGTCTCTGTCTCTCTCTCGCTCTCTCTCTCTCTCAAAAATAAGTCAATAAACTTAAAAAATGTAGATTTGTCATCATCAAATTCACATAACATAAATATAAAAATTAAACACAGTTTATTAAGTATCCTCTGATTTTAATATGCAACTATTTTAGAAGATCATTCAGTTTGTCTCTTCTTCCATTCTTTTGTGTGACCTAATAGTTAATTGTGTTGAAAGAAGAGTATTATTTTCCGTTCCTGAGTAACAAATTACCCCAAAGACCTAAACAACAGTATCAACCACCTTAACCTAAGTGATTTCTATAGAACACTCACTCCAACTGCAGAACACACTTTTCAAGGACACATGGATCATCCACCAAAATGCCACATACTAACCCTAAGATAATAGCACATTTCAAAAGATTTTTTTTTAATCATACTGCTGAACATCTACATCTCAATACTCTACCTATTCAAAATGGGAATACTGTGGAGAAGGTATTTGCTGGTTAAGGTGCCAGGAGGAAGGGTGAGAAACTGTAATGTGTCATAAAGCATGACTGCAGGTGCTGAGCGTACATAAGTCTACTGAGCTCGGTGTTCTCAGGAGCACTGACACAGCCCCCTTCCCACTGACACAGCCCCCTTCCCACTCATACAACAAGCCAAAGTCCACAGAGGGTTACTCCAAGCAACACGCCAGAGCGAGGCACACCACAGAAGCATCTTATAAACTAATTTTTATTCACTCCATTCAAAGGCCTAAAGTCAAAGCATGAAGCAGGTTCTGCCTCAAGTTGGTATCATCCTCAGTCTGTACACAATCAAAAAGGAAACACAGGAGGATAAATACAGGCGTTCTTAGAATGCAAGAATGCCAGACAAAAGTACGCAGATGACCACCTCAGCTTTCTCCACAGTAACTAACCAACCAAAACAAGTACCATACCAGAGTCCATAAATTCGTAACATGAAATACCATGTGCAGCTATGTTGGCATAGCCATGGTTAATGAGCATGGAAATATATTTATAATCAACTCAAAGAGAAAAGGCAGGCTACTATGCAATCCTTTTTATTTAAAAGAAAAAGAGCTGTGTCTGTCTCTAAACAAAAAGAAGAGTCAGGATGCAAAGCCCACTCAAATAACAACAGGGATGAGCTTTGGGCAGCAATGGGATCACAAGTGATTACTTCCTTCTTTATAGGTTCCTTTTCTTCACAAGAAGCTATATGATTTTTATATCAAGGAAGGAAGGAAGGAAGGAAGGAAGGAAGGAAGGAAGG